ATGAAATCTAACTAAAAACGAGGTTTTCCGTTTTTTTCGAATAAACGGGGATCCGTTTTTTCAGGATAAATGGATAGCCGCTTACTGCGATAATCCAACCGCTGGAAATTATTACAAGTAAAAATCGAGTTTTCGTTTTCTGAAATAAAGGTGGGTCATTTTTTTCAGAATAAACTGAAAGCCGTTCAGTTTACTGCAATCATCTAAGGGCTGAAAATTGATACAAGTAAAAAAAGGGGATCAGTTTTTCAGGATAAACGGAGAGCCGTTTAGTTTGCTGCGATAACTCCAGGGCCGAAAATTATTGAAGTAAAAATCGAGGTCCCATTCTTAGAATAAGGCCACCAAATAAATTCTTATAATTCCAACTTCTATTTATTATAACGCTTCTATTTTTGTGATTATTTCTTTTATTTGTAAAAAAAAAAAATTATTAAAAAGGCCAAATTAAAAATTGACAAAAATTGTCTTGAATTGTAATTATTTATAAAATAGTATATTGTGTGACTAGGGATAGAACAAAACGATTTCAGACGAGAGTAAAGTTGCCTTTCCGAGCGAAGTGAGGTCTGGCACACTCGGTCTGAAATCGTGTTTCATCCCGGGTCACACATATTTTTCATATAAGTTGCATTAAAAATGCTAGTTTCAATGTCTGGAGCCAACTAGAACTAGATAGTTTCAGATTAATACCATTTTAAAAAAAAACTTATAATAAAATAGAAAGTAATAGTTTATTTTTTATTAACCATTATTCGTAAATTGAATAGTCTTCTTTAGTCATTCTTATTTATGCTTAATAACAGAATTATAATATGTCAGTACAGCTAGCGGTTAGAATGACAATTATAAAGGTATAAAATAAACCAACAATTGATAGCATTGAAAATAAAGCTGCAACTTTATCTCGCGGGCATAAAATCGTCATTTTCTGTCCGCCGGGAAGAAATGATTGATTCCTGCCCGTCACAGTCGCATTGGTCTGAAATTGGCTAGTTTCGGTTGGCTCAACAGGCATTGAAACTCGCATTTTCAATGCAGGTTATATGAAAATTAATTTTCCGTATTTCTTTCTAATTAAAAATGTAACATTTTACGAGTACCAGAAACTAACAATAACAATAACAATAACGAGTAACAGCAAATATACATAAATAAACGCATTACGATTTTAGTGTTTTAGAATTGTAGATTTTATTGAAAGTGTCAATAAACTAAATACGATGCGTGGGTTAATTTAATTATAAGTATTATTTGAACGATAAAATTGTATATCTAAGTTAACTTGAAAGTACTTCAGCTAGAGAGGGATTTGAATAAAACAGAGCATATATTAAATCCACGAGAACGCTGTATAATTTCATAACATCAAAAGCAATGATATACATTTGGCACATGGGAAACCTCCTAGTGTCTAAAAATCAAAAAATCCAACTCTACATTTGCCAGTACTCTATCTGAAGCCCACGGAGACTGTCGGCCTTTCCTTTTCTTCTTGTCTTCTCGACAATCGGTGATTCAAAACTGTTCAGAGCGTCAGCCGAATACCGCAGTAGTGGACATCAATAATCGCGCAGACTGTGGAGGAAGAGGTGAAGAGAACCGTCTTACTAATTTTTAACTTCCCGCTAAGAAAATAGAAAATTTTAAAAAATCGGGAAGTTATTGGATTTACCACATTCTGCAAAAATCGAGTACGCACACGCGCGCGTGCGCGTGTGTGTATGTGTGTGTGTGTGTGTGTGTGTGTGTGTGTGTGTGTGTGTGTGTGTGTGTGTGTGTGTGTGTGTGTGTGTGTGTGTGTGTGTGTGTGTGTGTGTGTGTGTGTGTGTGTGTGTGTGTGTGTGTGTGTGTGTGTGTGTGTGTGTGTAGTGTTCTTGTAACTTTTGAACGACTTGACCGATTTCATCGCGGTTGGTGTCATTCGAAA